CCCCCCCCCCCCCCCCCCCCCCCCCCCCCCCCCCCCCCCCCCCCCCCCCCCCCCCCCCTTCCCCCCCCCCCCCCCCCCCTCGTGAAAAATACTAATAATCTCAAGTCATTTTAATTTTCAGCTCTAATATATCTGAGTTTTAATAAAATCATCTCTTTGATAGTTTCACGATTTAATTTATCTTAAAAAATTTTGATAAATTTGATTTCTTCAAATTTTACTATATATTAGAAAAATAAAAATGAGAAAAGTAATGATAAAACTACGTCAATTAAAAAAATGTAGCTCTCAGTTTGATTAGTCTAATACTCTAATATGGAGGCTCGCGTATGCGAGAATTATATGGCCACGGACCCTGATTAGACAGCTTACACAGTGTGTTTAACAAACACCGTGCAAACGATACTAATGTACACAGTAGCAAGTGCGTTTATCTATTCCGCGGGAATAATCTCTCATTAAAGGTGTGTCGAGTGCCCGTCGGGGGTAAAAATAGTTCGAGTTACCCTTTGACGAACGCCATACCATAGTTCCAGGTCAGCGAAACGCCCACAAAGAGCAAAAAAAAGGATTATTCGTACAATTTTATATTCGTGTTATAAATACTAAGGAGTGGGAAGTATATTCGTACAAGTCTACTCACATAAGAGAGAGAGTGTGTGTGTGTGTGTGTATATTTATATAAATATATGTAGTCTTAAAAAATCACCAAGAAAATATAAATATCCTAATACAAAAAAAATATAAATCCAGCGACACTTTCGGAAAAGATTGTTTAAGAAAACTCTATTTTGATCAAAAGAGGAAAATTTTGTTAAAAGCCAAAAGAGATTAAATTATAAAAAATTTATTAAAACTAATTCTATATAATTAATCTTTTTTTTTCATTTTCGTTGGAATTTTTATAAAGCTCCTTTAGATGTTTAAAAAAAAATGTGTGTACCATTATATTTATTAATAAAATTTAATTACACCGCGTTAATGACCCAAGACTATTTGAGACGAAAATATCCACTTTGTATTATAATAATAACTTAGGTAATTATAACTTAGCTAATTGACCAAGGAGGTAAAATTTTTTATGTCTAATATATACGTATATATAATATATGATCAATTTATAGCGTAATATATCAATCTTGCAAAAATAAGGAAACTTACCTATCGCCGAGATACCACATCAAAGAGCAAGGGCTTTTTGGCGTAGACGGACTTTTAGGCGAACTTATTGCATTGATGCCGATCGACGATGATTTCGACGAAGATGACAAGTTCGAAATTCCGCTCTCCGATGTATGCGGCGATTGATTCTCTTCGCTGTCAAAAGTTCCCGGTTGCCATGAATATCTCATCCTGGCGCGAGGGCTGCCGTGACTAGGACTCGACCCGCGCGAGCTAGATACGCTCTTTGGACTTTTGGGACTCTTGAGTCCATTAGAACTGAAGATGCGACCTAATCGTAATCTCAGAGATGTCTTATCTTTGGGCCTTGCGATACAATTGCTGTCGATGCTCGAAAGAGCTCGATCGGGTGACTCTGAATTGCTCGTCATAATTTTCTGCGAATGACTTATTCAAGCGCACTTTAATGCTTTATGCAAATACTTATCGGATTAAGAATGGAAATTTACCATCATATATCAATAAAGAATTATTTTCTCGATACACACGAACCAAAACTCGGCACTATCACAGAAAAAGAGAAAAAAAAAAGATGAGTCTGAAAAATAAGAATTAAGATAATAAATCATATGTATGTAAAATAACAATCTCTTTCAAAGTCTTTTCTCTCACGAATGATTATCATCAATGAGAACTGAAATCTCAAATTCTGCGATTATTATTTACGCGTTAAATTTCATTGTAACACCATTCGAAATATACGATTATGTGAATCGCTCGCACAACGCGTTACATCAGAACGATGCACCGAGAACAATTACTATAAAATTTCACCAAGAAATCGGATAAAACCCCAAGCAAGCCATAGACTTCCTGCCGGTGTTAACCGCATCCTTCCTATTTAGCTTTTATCAATTTTAAAGTTCTTTAAATAAAGAGGAAAGACTAATAATAATAGGATAGGGAAAGTGTGTAATATACGAAAGCGATAAAATGCTTAAACAATCGATATAGCGACATGGCGGCATTTGTTTAATCTAATCGATGTTTGAAAATTATAGCGCGTCAATGACAGCTAATGCTAATGAAATCGTAAATATTTAAGTATCAGGTTTGTTTTAATCCAATCTAACTTCTAATCTTAATCTAATTATTCATAATAATCTAGTAAACAAAGAGGACACAATTATAAATTTTCAATTGCCTAGTCTGTATTTTGTCCTTGATTTACAGATCAACACTCGCTGCATGATACAATCGATATGATGAGAATAAATAGCCAGGGACGCACGATGCGAATCCGTGAGATGCAAGAGTGGCTCAACCACTCGCATGGCGGGCGTTAGCGTTCCTGAGAATATCTCTTCGATGAAGAAAAAGAGAAGAAGCAGGGTCAGCTAGCTGAACCCCTGTGTCACGTTAATGTACATACTTGCAAGTACCTACTTATATCAACAATACAATAACAATTCATTACTATTCGACCACGTATTGCGAACGCTTTAAATACCATCAAGAGGAGAGTCTATGAGATGAACACGAGATGACAGGGTGTGATGAGATGATAATCGTACTAATGTCACGCCACGTGCCATATGTGGCATTTCGCGCGTGCTCGCTCGCATTTCTCGTGATTTTTACGATCGACGGCATGCACGCGGAAAAGGAGAGGCAGGGTACTTAT